AAATATTTCAAGCAATCCCTAAAGATAATGCTTTTTGCATATTTGAAGAGAATGGGTTAATAGCAATAAAGACCATTACACCACTAAACGACATAATTTATTTGAGATAATTAGACTATACTCTAAGTCCTATTCTAAAATCTAATAAAAGTGGCTTAACCTCTCTTTGGGCCTATTATTTTACCTGTAAATTATGATGAGTTTTATGGTTCTCAAAAAAATAGTTTGTGTTATCTATGATTCTGATAGCTCAGTATATCTTTACAACAGGAGCTGCAAGTGATCAAGATGATAGCATCCAATTGTGGTTCCAAGGAAGAATTGAAAAGTATTCAAATTTAATTCAGAATGAATCATGAATCATACTTGACTTAGAATGAGGAGATAAAATTATTGTCAAATGAGAAAAATATCTGAAACTTAATAAGGCAGAATTTTAAAAAGTCATCTGAATTTGTTGAATATATGTGTAGAAAGAGTTAAAATAATAGCCCAGACCATCTCTATTGGAATAAAAGAATATATTCTGAGGATTTATCAGTGAATAGTTCTGTTCTTGGACCTCTAGTAAACTACTAGACATTAAATACAATCTCTCCCTGAGGCTTCATAAAACTCAATAGTTTAATGAAAGGTTTAATTGCTCCTTTTTGGACAAAAAATCCATATAATCAAATGAAAAATTATACCGAACAAAAAAAAATGGTTCGTTTTAGACAAAGTAAAGGTTCTCTGGGAACCTGAAGGGCTCATTTTTTTTTTCTTTTTGCAAAAAATGTTTATTTTTCTGCACCTGCAGATTCTGGGTGCTGTGCATCCAGCATGTTACCATGAATCAGATAACCATTCCATCTGATACTTATGCAGAGAGATTAAATATAATTAGAAGGAAAATTTTAACACATTGAAATGATTATGTGATAGTAAGAAGACTGTTCTATTACTGAAGAGGTAATTGCCTAAGGAACCCTTTATATTCATTTTATAAATAATGGCAAAGAATATTTCATTTATATAAATTTCTTTTAGATTGAAGGTCTAAAATCCTAAGCAGATAGCTATATAAATTTTCAGTGGAAGAACCACATATTCTAGTATTCTCTAATGGATTTGAGTCAACCTGAATGTGACCTTGGTTAAAGGTCCTTTCCAGTGGAGGAAATGTTAAAAATTAGTCTTCAGTAACAAAGAGCAGCCCATTATTCAGCTCAACCAAATACAGGAAAATAATGTTATGACCCTTTTTATTATTATTGAATTTCTAGGTAAAGATTGAAAAAATATTTAGAACACTTTTCAAAATATTAGCCTGATAGATAGAATTTTGATAGAGGAAAATTTTGTGCATAACCTAAATAAAACCTTCATCTACATTGATTCATAACCTTGTCTGCAACTAATACAACGTGCAGAAGGCATCATAAATCACATTGTTCTATGATGAAACTGGTAAACTTCACTCACATTGAAGTTTTCCAATTTCTCCATACACAAAAGGATGAGTTAGAAGTCTTAAAAATAAACTACAAAAAAGTAAAGAACCACTAAGGATTTTGGAATATGAGCATATCATACTGCTAAATTTGGAGTTCCTCAATGAGATGGAGTATTTGACATTTTGTACAAGGCTCCTGTTACACTCATTATTTTCCTGAGACATTGGTCTTCCTGCCGTGAGCATTAGATGGTGTAAAGAGTAGAAAAGGGTGGTTGTTAAGGACGGTGGTACAGAATTAGCAGCATTCACTTTTTTGAGGGAAAGGACTATTGGATATTTGGTTAGATTGAAATCATGGTAGTGCTTTTACCACTCTGAAGCAAACATTTATTTTCCCATACCTTGAGATGAAGAAATAGCAAACTCTAATATTTTTCTTAGAAGCAAATAATAATTATCCCTATTTCTACTCTTACTAGATGCCATCCTTTCAAGGAAAGCTACCCAGAGCTGACCTGGCGCCTACATGGAGGCCATGGTGTCTTCTGTTGAATGCAAGTGATCCCACAGATCACCAACATCAGACAAGACCACTCTGAGACCACGGTAAAGTAAGACAAAAACAAAACCAGTTCACAATCATGGTTGAGCACTGATACAAACCAGGTCACTGTGAAAACAAAACTTTATCAGAACTTCCCTCTCCCAGCTGAGTGACTGACTTTTTAAAATTTCAAATCAGTTGCAGCTTTAGCTTCATTCTTTTGGCTTCAGAGATATAATTTATTAAGGTCCCAGTCATGAAATTACTCCTTCCTGACAGAGAAAACCCCTGCTTCCTTGAAAACCCACTTTCCTTCTTGATCTCTCTCAGAGAGCCAACCACAAGCCCAAATTCTCCAAGAAGTCCCTTCTCTTACCATCTTACTGGGTGTTTTAGCACGTTTCTGTGCTGCCATAACAAAATACCTGAGACCAGGTAGTTTATAAGCCATAGAAGTGTATTTCTCACAGTCCTGGAGTCTAGGAAGTACAAATGAAGGAGCCGGCAGATTTGGCGGTTGGCAAAGTCTTCCCTCTGCTTTGTCGATGGCGCCTCTGTTGCATCCCCGAGTGGTGGGGAAGGTGGAGGGGCAGCAGGAACCTAGCTAGTTCCCTGGAGCCCTTGTATAAGGGTATTAACCCATCCGTGAGGACAGAGCACTCATGACTTAGTCACTTCCCAAAAGGTCCCTCTTCTTAATACCATTGCATTGGGGGTTGAGTTTCAGCATGAATTTTGGAGGAGACACAAACACTCAAACCATAGCACTAAAGCACCTATAGTTCCCGTAGTATAGGATCTCCCTTGCTGCAGCAAACACCAGTAAACCCACATTTTACTGCAGGTGTGTTCTTGGTGGTCTTTGACAAATGGGCATCAACTTTATGCCATTAATCTCAGTAATGAAACATATTTCACTTTTCAGGACAATATAGTCTTTGATTAACCACATACAATCTAAAGGGTTTAAAAAGTGAGTTCTCTATGCAGATTAAAGATGTTAAATCCTCAAAGGCTGTTATTATCTGGTTTCCTTTTTATCTAGCATCACTATATTTCTGGCCTATGATATATAAACTAGTTCTCTTTGAACCACTAACAAACACCCTTCTCTTTAAACCTTAGAAAATCGAATCAATTTTTCCAAAATGGTGCTAAAATTAACAAGTAAGGCATAGCTAAAAGATAATGGAAAATAATCAAGAAGCTCCTCACTGTGTCATTTTAAAATATGTACATACTCAAGTGCAAGAACTTTAATATTTTCAGATCTTTTTCATATTCAACTGGGGCCAGTCTGATGATCAATGAATGCAACTATTCACATTGTGTTATAAATATTTCATAAAGACTTGATTAATGTAAGGCCAGTGAACACAGAAATCGAGGGGGGGCAGTTCATACCATTCTGCGGTATTAACTCCCAACAATATAGAGTACCCAAATCACGCCTGGCCACTTGTGATCAATCCCCACCTGGTTTCCAAATAATTATTCACAAAGAGCACAATAAAAAGGAGGATCAAACAAGCCTTTAATTCATATCTTTACAGTGACCCACTTTCTGGTAAAATATAGCCAAAACAAATGCCCTATACTCTACTTCCAGGTGTCCTCAAACTACGGCCCGCGGGCCACATGCAGGTGGTTTTGCCCATTTGTTTTTTTACTTCAAAATAAGATATGTGCAGTGTGCATAGGAATTTGTTCATAGTTTTATTTAAACTATCGTCCAGCCCTCCAACTGTCTGAGGGACAGTGAACTGGTCCCCTGTTTAAAAAGTTTAAAGACCCCTGCTCTACTCTATCATATTAGCACCTCCTTTTCCTTTACAGAAGCAAGGACTTTGCAGACTAGACCACCTATATTCAAATTCCAGCTCTACCTCTTGTAGGCTATGTGACATTGGACAAGTAATTTAACCTTTCTATTCTCTTTTCTCATTCATAAATTTAGGATAATAAAGTTACCCAACACCTCATAGGGCTTTTGTGAGGATTAAATAAGTAAATATATATAAAATACAACAATGCCTGATATATATAAAGTGCCATGTGTTAGATTTTATCATTATTATTATTCACAGAAATCTAAGAAAATAATGTTGACCTGGTATGGAATGAAGGTTGGGAACTGTCATCTCTCCAATACCCTTTTGGTTTTTAGAAGATGAGATTCCGAAGCATATCGAGCTAATTCTGTTTTCATCCTCTCACTTCTACTCCCCTATTATGTACAACTGCTTCTTTTGTACCTTCCTGAGGTTGGCAATTTTGTCTTTGCCTTCAAAATGCATCTGAACAGACATTAATTAGGTTATCTCCAAGGTTGCAGCAAATAATAGATTAAAAAAACCACTCCCTAATCTATTATGAACTACAAAGTATGCCCAGCGACATTTTTCAACCATGTTCACTAGAGGAGGTTTTTCATTTAGTACCACATGGTGGCTTAGCTTGACTGCAATGCCAGCTAAAGAAAATGCCTCCAAACTGGAACGCTTCTCTTTACTGAGGATTCATAGAAAAATTAAACTTAAAATTAATTCCTTTTTACAACTATAATAAAAAAGAAAATAAAATCTAATATGATTCTTCTTCCAATTTTTCTCATTCCCAGCAAACAGATTCTAACTCAGGGGACTCGATAGAATTTTAATTTGTTTCCCAATAACCACTTCTAGAGTTAAACAACCAGCATCTGTCACATTTTCAAGGTTGGATTTATTCAACCTCAAGTTTCACACTGTCCCAGTTTTCAAAATCTGAAATGGTTAACAAAAAATGTAATACTCTTTAAAAACTGGTTCTTTGCCCAAAAAAATCATGAGAAAAATGCAAGTTCTTACAAGAAACAATTTTAAACTAAATGATGGTGTCCGTCAGGACTTCAACTCTACCTGGCTTATATCGAAATACACAGTGTACCACCCCATGTAGCAGAGCATCCCATGGTGCTCCTGGGTGTAGGGGCTCCAACTGTGTCATTAATCCTCTCGCCCACACCCCCGTGCCCACCTCCTGGGCTCTGTACTCTTCTGTGCAGGATTCGTCCACAGGCAGATCTTTCAACATGGTAGTTCTCAACAGCTTCAAGTTTACATAATTCTTTGAGATAGCATTTCTGGCAGAAAGATACCCCCTAAGAGTTCGAAAGAAAACTTAAAATAAAATCCTGGAATTTAGCCTCACTGGACTGACATATCACAATAGCATGTGCACATCAAAGCTCAGAGCAGAGAGAACATGTTTTCTGTGAAAAGGGAAGGACAGATAAAGGTAAAAAGAGAAAATCATCTTGCTTTAACATTGTTCAGGGTATCAATCTGTGCATACTAGTGGTCCAGAGTTCATAATTTAAACTCAAATTTGAGAGTAGATTCTGCTAAACAATTACTTTTACTGTCATGGCTTTTCACCGTGCCTTGTACAGTCCAAGGCCTTTTTATTCCTCTGCTTTTGCCATGGAAACTTCACAATCTCTGGCCCCAGCGGCCCAGTAGGAGTCAATATGACCTGTGCCTTGGGTTTTTCTCCCAAATCTCACTCAGCCACAGCCCTTTGCTTAGCCCTGTGCTGCTGCTGGCAGCATTTCTCAAGCCCATAGGTTAGAGTCAAATTTGAACCAATGACTTCTGTCCTATGTTAGTCCTCAAACATTGCCTGTCCTTTTCTTTTTAGAGACTTTCTTAAGACCTCACAATGTCCTTGCTCTCTCCTCATATTTGGCTGGAGTAAGACCTGATTTCAACAAAGAATCAAATCATTTTCCTAGCCTCAACTAAGAAAGGGGAGGAAGGAAAAAAGAGAAAGAGAAACCCACACATAAACTTTGAAAATAAAATAAAAAGCTACAGACTCTGTGACGTCCAATTCCATGCCACATGCCGATTCCAGGAACCAACAATACAGATGCCAAAAATCTTTTTACACTTAATCTCTGTTAGAGATTTCTCTGGATCTGGCAACCTTGCTTAAGAAAAAAAGTTAAATAAATTTTTTTTAAGTGTTTTATAGTGAGTGTAACCAGTCCCTAGCAAGAACGATTCCTTCTCATCTCCAGGGTCCCTGAAGAACAAGAAAATAAATATTTATCTCTGGCCAAGATGTGATCCCTGTTTCCTTGCTTTTTGGTCCCAAATATGACTACTCTACAGCCAAAATGAATTGTTTTCCATACAACAAATACCAGCTGTTGTATTTCCCCCAAATCTTTGATGTCCTTATATAGCAATTTACTTCTGCATGCTGGCCCTTAGGTGGCACCATACTTGAGGTTAAGAAGGCAGGAAATTATGTTGGCTTGGATGATTTTTTGATGGTGTTGGAAAGTCTGAATCATGGTGTTTTGTGCAAGTGGCAAATGTTTTTGAATGATTGTAGCTTAGAGGGTGGCCAGTGTGAGATTGCTGAGTCCAAAACAGTATACTAAAGCTTTTTCTTATGTTCCCTATGCCAGTCTGCGTTTATCATCCTTATGCCATTTATGTTTCCTGTGCCTGCACTTACGTTACTTCCCTAGATTTTACTCTGTTGGCAGCAAACATCTTTTTGTGGCAAAAGAAGTGGCATGTTCATATTAAATTCAGTATCAAAGAGGAATATATCTCAACTTCTATTAAACATTTATGTCTCTAATTGAACACTGTGTTCAGTTTAAAAGAGTATGTGAAAAATAGAAGTGCACAAGTTCAGAGTTAGTTTTTGGTATTTACTACTTAAGCCAATTGGAAATAACTTTCATTAAAGTCACCTTGTCTTATGAAAGTATCTTAATACCTTATTGGTAACATTTTTAGACAAGTCCTGAGAATACTGCTCAACTCCATGAGTTCATCTGTAAGAAAGCATCATCAAATCTTGCTGATTCTTTCTAGCAATTAAACTGTGTAATTTAAACCACTGAGTAGAACACTTGGATCTACTCGCCAACAACACAGACCCATAGTCACAGTGTCTTTTTAAAATGACCCTGTATGCAAGGGCTCCATTAGAGCACCTTGCAAAGTGCATCACTAAGAGCGGTAGTGTTGATGCTTCTTTGGGGACAAGGAACCGACATCTATCTAAATAAAGAGGCCATTTATTGACGGGATCTGGGAGAAAAGCACAACTGAGCCTCGTGGGAGTCATGAATTGCGAAGTCATCAGGGCCAGAGGTAGTTACTCTTTCCATCTCTCCGGAGTCATGTTATTTCTCGTTCTCCTTTCTTAGCATGTCTCCTACCTCTTGCTACAAAGGAGTGTGGTATTATTTACAAAAATTCACATAGCTTGCAAATCTACATTCTTTGAATGCTTTATTTCAAATTGTCACAGAGGCAATTCTGATTGGGCACTGGTCATTCATTGCATTGCTACTTGGATATTCCTCCTCTTGGTCACATCCTACTCATAAAGCTAACCGGACTCAGCTTTATTTCAGACAGTGGTGGTGGTGGCAGCTCCTAATTAAGGAGAATAAGAGTGGCAGGGCTAGAGTAGTCAATTAAAGTGGTTGATAATTTTTTTGTTAATAAATGATAACTAAACAAATAGGCTATGATGGCTACTTTAACTTTGTTCTAACCTAATTCCAGACTTTATGCTGCAGTTCAGGATTAATAAATGCAGCTTCAAATTGTGGTCCCATCTTTTCTCTTTCCTCAGTTGCAAATTCAAGTACACTGTATAAAATCAAGAAGATGAGGGTCATTTATAATAATGTCATCAATTTTAAAAGCCTTAATGAGTTTTGCCCTTGAGTTATATAAATTTTTATCTCATTATTTAGAATAATTATTTTGTCAATTATAATTTGAAATTTAGAAAAAATGTTATGAGATAAATTTATAAAGAAAAGAAGTGACATATAAGAGCAAAAATAGACTTATCACCATGGTAACTAGATTTTTACACAGGCATTAATAGTGCTTCCAGAATAAAGAACAAACAGAATTTTGTGCAAAAGAGATATTTACCTTTGAAATAAGGTATGTAACTCTGATATGTGTGTATGTGTGTGTGTGTGTGTGTGTGTGTGTGTATATACTGTGATGCCACCAAAAATAAAACAATAGTCACAAAAAATTATTTCTTCTCTTTTCTGCCCTTTGATTCATGTCAAATTAAATAATTGGATATGACACTGTATGACAGGTGTATGCTATCATAGCAAGGCAAAATGACAAGATTCTGCTTGCTTGATTGCCTACTATTTCTTATTTCCCTCAAATGCAAGACTGAAAAAAAACCCATAAATGAGAGATTCTTAATAGAACTTGCTTTCTAAATAAAATCACTTCTTAAAATTAAGAGCAAACACGTTGAAAACTTATTATGCTCTAGGCAACATGACAAATGCTTTATCTACAAGATCACAATTCATTTTAATAAAAGCCTTGGGTGTGAAAGTTCTATTACTCTGCTTCCTGTTTTACAAATGAAGAAACTGAGGCTCACAGAGATTTAGTAGCAGAGAGTAGTGCAGCCTGGAGAGGAGCAGGAACATCCCAAGGGTAACTGGGAAGAGGTCATTCGGAAGGCAGCTATTTCGTGGGGAGAAAAGTGTTTGGCCAGTGTGATCGTGGATAGTAAATGATCTTGGTAAGCCAGGTATGGTCATTAGGAGAGATTTCCTACAGTTAGTCTTAAGGAACAGGCTATAGGAAATGTTACTGAAAAGTTTCCAGTTCAAACTCCTAAATGTTGAAATAACCAATTGCACAACAGTATTTATCTGACACACAAATCATTCAAGCTCAAAGACAATCCCACAGAATCTCCCACTTATATGATCTTTGGTAAATCAGTTAAACTATTTAGTTATCAGTTTATTTATCTGAAAACTAAGTTTTTACCTTAACTGCAAGTTCTAACATTTTATGATTTTATGCAGATTTTTTTTTGGTTTGTTTCAACTCTCTTTCCCTTCCCTCCCAGCCATTTTTTTCCTTATAAAGAATTCTATTCATAAGTCTGTTTATTAAATCAGGCATTGGCTTTGTACCAATCTTGAAGGAATTCACTTTTATTTATATTTAAATAATTGAGATGGAGAGTGCAACCCTTATGAAACTAAATCTCATAAAACTGTTTACATTTTCTCTGCTTTTAAAAGTAAATATGTCAGTCAGAGTTTGTTTTTTTTTTGTTGTTCTTTAACAAATAGTAGCGTGGAAACTTATGAAAACCATGTAATCTGTACAGTATTCTTTCCCAAGAAAATGAAGGTCGTGTAGCTCTGACTCAAGCAGTTTATGTAACCAAAGCATTTGTACCTCCATAATATTTTGAAATAAAAAAAAAAAAAACTTGCCTAGTATGTCCTAAACCAAGATGCTAAGAACATTAGTTCTATAAGATGCTAATAGATCTTCTTTGGAAAATAAGAGAGGTTTTAGAAAATTCAACAAACAAATGATACTCTGTGCCAGGTGGGAGTTTTCTGATTCCTTAAAACCAGAGTGAATTTGCTGCATATTAAACTCAAAGGAATTGATAAACAAACACAACAAAAGCAAAATTCATGGGATTACATTTAATACAGTTATTTAGAAATACTTCTTCAAATAATTCTAGAAAATAGAAGTACGGCTGGCCATTCCTAATCATAATGAAGGTATAGGAGAATACTAACGAACTAGCAGGCAGTTGGGTGTGATTCTAGAAGAAATTTTTATATGCATTCTGTATCCTCCATTTACCATTAAGACCACTATATTGTGAATTTAGTTGGGAAATGGTTTTATGAGTTGATCAGTAAAAAACTTACCAGTAAAGACTTAATACATTTTAAATAGCCAGACTAGAAGTACAAGATGGAATTGGTTTGCTCTGGTCCTAAGATGTAGTTCAAAGCCCATTTAATTATACATGAAGGTCTAATTAAAGCAGAAATGTTCTTGTCTCCTTGATATTTTGCACCTCTGGTCACAATTAAGCAAAGATTCAGAGATATTCAATCAAGAGTTACTAAAGATATTTCAAATATTTAATTTGAAATAATTCTATCTTTTGATTAGATGAACATTATCCAAATGTTTAGGAAGAAAATATATTTCCTTCCTGCAGTTTTCAGATATTATTGCTGAACATTTACGGAAGTCAAATAGATGAATTAAATTGTTTTTAGTTTATTCAGGGAAAGTTTATTGCATATTA